TTAACTCCTTTTTAGTGCATCCCACCTTGTCTTTGCAACGACGTGCGATGATTGGATTGGTAACCGGCTTCTCGTACAAATTATTTCCAATCAAATATCTTGGCTGCCCCCTTTATATTGGAAGAAGGCAGATGCATTATTTTGCCGAACTCTGCGACGTCATAACATCCAGAATCCTATCATGGAAGAATCGGGTCCTCTTATTTGGTGGCAAGATTGTGCTGTTAAAGAGTATTTTGTTTTCAATGCCAATTCACCTGTTAGCAGCAACATCTCCTCTGAAGGGAGTCATTGCTTCCGTAAAAATGGTGATGGTAAATTTTTTGTGGAGCTCGACGGATATGAGCTATAAATTTCATTGGTTAAGTTGGGGGAGTTGTGCCGCCACAGCAGGAGGGTGGGATTGGAGTTCGTAGCTTGACGAAGGTATATGAAGCTTTTTCCATTAAGCTTTGGTGGAATTTTCAGCAAAGGAGATCCCTATGGGCTAAATTTTTAACAACCAAATATAGTAGAGGGGTGCACCCTTGTTTGGTAGAAGAGGGTTATTCGCTGTCTTACACTTGGAAGAGGTTATGTTCGATTTAATAGTTGGCAGAAAAGCATATTTGCTGGGTCATCGGTGAGGGATCAATGGATTTCTGGCATGACAATTGGATGGGAACTGGGGCTATATGTCATTAGATGGAAATTTTCATGAGCATGTATGTTGTGTCAAATTTTGTCTCGCAAACACAATGGAATATGCGACTTCTTAATCAAGTTCTAGAACCTGAGTTGGTTAGGCAAGTTGTGAAGGTTCCCCCTTCATCCGCTCATAGCTCTGATAGGATGGTGTGTGGGCTTTAACGCAGAATGGTTCATTCTTAGTTTCTTCGGGTTACACGCTTGTTGCGCAGGCTTCTAATTATTCTTGGGTGGTTTTGCACGTGTGGCTGAAGGGGTTTCCTATCAACATCTCTTTCTTTATGTTACGGTTGCTACGATTGCATCTTCCCCTAATGGATCTACAGCGTAGTTTGAGGTACAAGGTCCGTCTAAGTGTCATTGTTTTTCTGAGCCAGCAAATGAGAAGGTTAATCACATATTTTAACAGGAAATTTAGCTAAGGCGGTCTGGAATAGTTTTGAGGGTCTTAGGAGATTTGGATATGGTGTCCACGTTGAGACACGTGGTGTTAACAGTGGTGGCTACGTAAGGGGCACAACGTGTATCTCAGATTCGTTTATCATACATTACACTATGCTCGTCTGTTGGGAGTATGAAAGCGAGAAACAGGGGTCTGTTTGATGGAAGGAAGGTGGGGGGGGACGGAGGTGCAGATCAGGTATTTCAATAGTTATGTGATTTACTACATTGTAATTTCTGGAGATAGCTTGTTCTTTTGTCTCTTGGATGTTCTCACTCTTCGTAGTAGCTCTGAAAAGAAGGATTTTTATTTTACCGATTACATGGTCGGCTCCTAGGGCAGGGTATAAGTTGAATTCGGATGGCTGTGCAAGGGGGAACCGGGAGTTAGTGGGGGTGGGGGAGTTGTACGAGATGGGGAAGGGAGATTTATCGTCGATTATTCCTTTTTTTGGGTCATTGACCAGTTAACACGCGGAGCCATGGCCATACTCTTTAGGGTGCGGCTCTGTGTTGCTCGAGACTTACAAGAGTTGCATGTTGAATTTGACTCACTTGTCTTGGTGCAAATACTCTAAGGGACACATGGTTGCCCTTGGAGACTGCAACGGGAGGTGGATGAATTGCTCAGTTTCAAGCATCATTTCCATGAGATACCCATTGCTATAGAGAGGCGAACAAACCCGCTGATTATCTAGCTAACCTTGGCGCAAATTCGGAGTAAGAGGATGTTTTTGACGACTTTCGTTCTTTACTGGCTACTGTCCGCGGGTAGATTATCATGGACACTTTAGGCTTCCCTAATTTTTGTAGAAAATTACTATAGCTTAGCTTAAAATTGTATTAAATAACTGTCATGTGGATATTTTTGTGAGATTGGGTTTGCTGACAGGGAGTTTCATCCATTTATAAGGGGAAACTCTGCTAAAATTTTTAATAAAAATAAAAATACATTTGATTAAAAAAAAAACTCCTTTTTGGTGCAAAATTGCTTCAAGCGTTAATTAGTGAGCTAAATGTGTAAAATTAGTGGATTAATGCATAAATATGTGATATTTGATAGGTATTGTGCATGAAACACTCGCTTAAGTTGAAAATGAGGCAATGTATATCTTGCAGGATAATGCATAAGTGAGATCAAAAGAGGAAGTTGCGCGATAAAAGAAGGAAATTGAAGCTGGAAATAGAGGAGTTGGATCTGACCTCGGATTTGAGCAGAAAAGAATGGATCGACCTCGGATATACTTCTGTAATCAGAGGTTGTATCCAAGGCCATGATCAAAGCTCGGATCAGTTGACAGAGGTGATAAGAGTATATCTTACGTGTTTTTAGTGTGTTTTATTAGTTAGTTTTGGTGTGTTTTATTTAGTTTTATAACTAAATAACTAGGATTTTAGTGAAAAACGCATTTTGTGGTTTAAGTGATAAATATTACATTTCTATGGATTTTCATGGTGAAAACCTCATATTTTTGTAGGTTTAATGATTCAATCATCAAATGGCATGAATTGAGAAGAGAATTAGATAATTATTGATGATTTGAAGTGGTTAAAAGAAGATATGAAGTGGAAAACATTCAAATGAAGAAATGCAAGTGAAGACAGTTTTGACACATTGTGATATTTTAGAAATATATTGAGCTACAAGCATCATATTGAGGTAATTCTTATACCATTTTGAAGCTGAAATAGATCTATATTTGGTATGAAAACATCGAAATCCAGTTCAGCCGTTTTCCTTGTCAAAAAGTCGAAATATAGAAGTGCAAGTGCATGGTCGAAAGCTGAGACAGAGCTTTGACTAGTTGATGGTATTGTGGTCATATCTTGGTCCACAGAACTCCAAATTATATGATTCTTAAAGCATTGAAAAGATAACTCAAAATTCTACAATTTTCATGTTTTGCACAAGAGTTAGTTCAGCCTCTATCAATGAGAAAATAACAGTTGAAATGATGCCAAATTCACAGAAATGAATACGCAACTATTGAAAACGCGAGTTGAAATCGCGTATTCCCTAGTCGCTTATTGTAGCCTGATGTTTGCAATTTGCTCAGCCATTTTCTCTACCTTCACACTACTCTTCAGTTCAACTCTGAACAAGAATTTTGGCTGCACATATTCAAGGAATCTTTTGGAAGAAAAAAGGAGCTTTATATCTTGTCAAAAAATCACCTTTTGACTCTCTTAACACTTGAGATGTGAGAATCATTAGAAGAGGAGAATAGGACATTTTTAGAGGGGTGATCATCAGATTTTAGGATAGGAGCTTAGTGGTTAGTCTTGTTTTGTTCTCTCTAACTAGAACTTTTGTGAGAATAATTGGAAACTTCATTGTAAAACTCATTTGTTGAAGGAATAGAAGAAATTTGGGAGAGTTTTCACTAATCTTGGTTAAGCTTTTTTTATCTATCTTTTACTTGTGATTCAATATGTGTTCTTGCAATGAAACCATGTTATTTCTTGTCATATCTTATATGAGTAGCTAAATTTTTAGATCTAGGAAGTAGATGAAACTTGTGGCTACTTGATATGAAGTGAATATGATTTACACTTGTTACATTTGTATTAACTTGTCTATTTATGCATGCTTATCACTTATTGTTGCTTGATCACCAACAACAAGCTTATAGTTGTTATTATTCAATGAAAGTTGACAATAATGATGGAACAACATAAATAGAGCTTGAATAGTAGACTCATGAAAATAGAGGTACACTTAAGTGGATTAAACTTAATTTTCATGAAGAAACAAGAATAGATTAGTTATTCACCATGAGAATCGGGAAAACTGGCTATTTTAGGCCATTTTATCATGAGAATGAGATTTGGTAGTATTGGAAATGAATCTCTAGTTGAACAAGAGTTGTAACAAGAGATAAATCTATATATTAGTATTTTTATGCCATAAGTGGAATCTATATCTCTAGACTCAAGTATTTGATGAATTTTCTTCATTGTTACTTGCGAATATCTAGTTAAGATTAGTTAGGTAGTAGTAATTAAACTTTTCTTGCTTAAATAGATCATTAGTCTAAATAATAGATTAAGTAAAGGTTTGGTACCTGTAAAGTTGCTCTCTGTGGGATTGACCAGATATTTACCCTAAACTACTAATTTGACCTATATACTTGCAATCAAAATAGGTATATTTCGGAATTAAACTTGTACTTATATAAAAATCCAGTCAAGTTTTTGGCGCCGTTGCTGGGGAATGATAATATTAGGGTCTAACAAGCTTTATTAATTTAAACATTCTTTATAAAGTTAAGTTAGAATTTCTGGTAATTTTGTGAAATATTTTTACATAATCTCTTTATTTTTTATTGTAGTGTATGCATCGAATTTTACAGGTAATAGCACCTTTTAATCCAAAAATTGAAAGAATACTATGTAGACAAAGAAGGCGTACACCACAACAAGAAAAAGAAGAAGTTCGACAACAAATAAAGGGAATCACGATAGAGCTACCTTTTGAAGAAGAAATGGCGAAAAATGAAGCAAATAGGCGAGCTCTTAAGGATTTTGCTCTATTGGGAACCCAAGGATCTCAAACGAGTATAGCACAGCCGGCGGTAAACGCTAATAATTTTGAGATTAAACCATCATTAATCCAAATGGTGCAACAATCTTAATTTGGAGGTAATGCCATAAAAGATCCAAATGCACACTTAGCCATATTTTTAGAGATATGTGATACAATCAAAATGAATGGAGTTAGTGAGGATGCTATAAGACTAAGTTGTTCCTATTTTCGTTGAAAGATAAGGCTAAAATTTTGGTTACATTCTCATGCTCCTAACACTTTCACTACGTGGGATGATTTGTCTAGGGTATTTTTGAATAAATACTTCCTATCGGGTAAAATGGCTAAACTTAGACTGAATATAACCAGTTTTAGTTAATTGGATGGTGAGTCATTATATGAAACATGGAAAAGGTTTAGACATTTGCTTCGAAAATGTCCACACCATGGACTTTCCAATTGGCTAATTGCACAAACTTTCTATAATGACTTATTCTTTTCTACTAAAACTATTATCGATACAGCCGCAAGTAGAGTTTTGATGGCAAAATCACTTCAAGAAACTCAAAATTTAATAGAGGAAATGGCGGCAAAAAATTATCAATGGGCTAATGAAAGATGTAATTTTAGGCGACAAGTAGGTATGATTGAAATTGGTACCATTAATATGCTTAGTGCTGAAATAAGCAATATGATAAAGGTGTTGAATAGACAAGCCGGATGTGGTCCAAATTTTTCTTCTAATGTGCGTGTAGCATGTTGTTTCATATATGGAGAACATGATACTAATGATGTGTTGATCCTGAGCAGATTCAGTTTGTCAATAATTACAATAGGAATGTTCAAAATAACCCATACTCGTATACCTACAATTCGGGGTGGAAAAATCATCCAAATTTTAGGTGGAAAGATCAAGGCAACCCACAAAGGCCGACTAATCCGCCGAAATTCCAACCAAGGCAACAACAGATGAATACCAAATCGGATTGGGAGATTGCAGTGAAAAAATTGGTAAAAGGTACTTCGGAGAGATTCGAGCGGCTAGAGGGCGGTTGGACCAATTGATCGGAATGTATAGAAATGTGGAGGTTCAGATTGGTCAAATCGCCAATTCTATTAATAATCGAAATCAAGGGGAGTTGCCTAGTAAAACGGAGGTGAATCTGAGGGAGCACATCAAGCCATTACTCTTCATAATGGTAAACAACTAGAGGATTTAGAAAATGGAGAGAACAATGAGAATGAAAGACAAGAAGATGAGCTAATGGAGCAAGAGGTAAACGTGGGGAAAGGTAGTAAAGGAAAATCAAATGAAGAACAACCTACATCCTCCACTACCGTTCCGATACCTGCGGCAGTTCCATTTCTACAACGACTCAAGCCAAATAAACTTGACAAAGACTTTGAAAAATTTGTCAAAATTTTGAAAAAATTTCATATTAATATTCCTTTCATTGATGCTATTTTACAGATTTCTTCATATGCCAAGCTCCTCAAGGAGATTGTAACACGAAAGAGGAGATTGGAAAATTGTGAAATGATAGCATTAATTGAGGAGTACAACGCCATCATACAAAACAAGCTCCCACCAAAATTGAAGGATCCGGGAGCTTTCCTATACCTTGCACTATCAGTAACATTGAATTTTCTAAGGCATTATGTGACCTTAGTGCAAGTGTATCATTAATTCCTTTAACGGTGGCTAGACAATTGCATAAGATAAAATGCACTAATATTACTTTATAGTTAGCTGATCGGTCTATTAGATATCTATTAGGAGTGTTGGAAAATGTGTTGATTAAAGTGCAAAAATTCATTATTCGTGTGAATTTTGTAGTATTCGATTTGGAGGAAGATATGTCTATGCCAATTATTTTAGGTAGACCATTTTTAGCAACTGGGTACTATTATTAATGTAATAGCAAACTAAATTTCAAGTAGGTGAAGAAGAGGTAGTATTCAGCTTGAATGAAATGAAAAGTACCCTTCTTTTACCGATCATGCTTGTTCAATTGAAACTATTGAAATGCTAACCCAAGAGTTGAATCGAATCAATCTTGATTTCGATCCTCTTGAACTTTATTTAATAAGTACAGGAATGCAGGAGGGAAATGATGAAGAAATTGAGGCATTGGTTCAATATTTAGATGCACAACCTCCTTATACGAAGAGGCATATGTACGAGAATCTTGGACAAGGAAAGGGACTTTCACCACTTTCAGAGATAGAAGCTCCAAAACTTGAATTCAAGCCACTTCCTAACCATTTGAAGTATGAGTTTTTTGGTGAAAATAAGACTCTACCAATGATTGTCAGTGCTTATTTGGAATAAGAGCAACTTAATAAGTTGCTAAGAGTTTTAAGGAAACACAAAAAGGCTATCGATGGACCATCTCCGACATTTAAAGAATTAGTCCTTCTATATGCATGCATCGCATTCATTTGGAAGATAATTGCAAACCGGTGGTTGAATTGCAAAGAAGGGTTAATAATCCGAACATAAAAGAGGTGGTAAGATTAGAAATTATCAAGTGATTGGATGCAGGTATAATCTTCCCTATTTTGGATAGTATATGAATTCGTCCAATTCATGTTATCCCAAAGAAAAGTGGAACTACCATAGTTAAGGGAAAGAATAATGAACTTATCCTCTCTAGACTTGTGCTAGGATGGAGAGTGTGTATAGACTATAGGAAGCTAAACGCAGTCATAAGAAAAGATCACTTTTCTCTACCCTTTCTTAATCAATTATTGGAACGTATTACTAGTTATGAATTTTATTATTTCCTTGATGGATTTTCAGGTTATAACCAAATAGCAATAGCTCCTGAAGATCAAAAAGACTACCTTTACTTGCCCGTATAGCACATTTGCTTTTAGGAGGATGGCATTTGGCCTTTACAATGCCCCTGCCATATTCCAACGCTGTACGATGGTAGTTTTTTCTGATTATATTGAGAAAATTATGGAGATTTTTATGGACGATTTTTCAGTATATGGTTTATCGTTTGACCATTGTCTTCATAATTTAGACTTAATTTTGCAAAGATATGAAGAGACGAACCTTGTATTGAATTGGGAGAAGTGCCATTTTATGGTCCAACAAGAGATCATCTTAGGGCACAAGATTTCCTCAAGAGGAATTGAGGTGGGCAAAGTCAAAATAGAAGTGATCGAGCGAATGCCACCTCCAAACAATGTTAAAGGATTAGAAACTTTCTGGGACATGCGATAGCTTTTATAGACGTTTCATTAAGGATTTTTTCAAGATAACTAAACCCTTATGTGATTTATTATACAAAGATACCACATTTCATTTTGATGATAAATGTTTAATGACTTTTGATAGGTTGAAAAAGAAGTTGACCTCAACACTGATTATAACTTCACCGGATTGGTCTCTACCATTTGAATTGATGTGTGATACAAGCGATTATGCAGTCAAAGCTGTGTTAGGTCAGCAAAAAGAAGGAAGGTTGCATGTGATTTATTATGCAAGTAAAGTGTTTAATGAAACACAAATTAACTATGCAACCACAAAAAAAGAGCTTTTGGCGGTGATATTTGCCTTTGATAAATTTAGATCCTACTTAGTAGGATCTAAAGTTATCATTTATACGGACCATTCAGCTCTTAAATACTTACTCTATAAAAAAGATGGAAAACTGCGACTAATTCATTGGATTATTTTATTACAGGAATTTGATTTAGAAATTACAGACAAAAAGGGATTGAAGAACCTTGCGACGGATCATTTATCGCGATTAGAGTATATCCCTACCAATGATCAAGATTCAATTAAGGAGAATTTTCCGGATGAGTTTGTTCTAGCACTAACCAAATCTCTATGGTATGCAGATTTTGCTAACTTTTTAGTAAGTAGAGTACTTCCGAAGGGTTTTAATTTTCACCAAAGGAAGAATTTTTGCATGATGTTAAAAGCTTCATTTGAGAGGAACCACTACTTTATAAGCATTGTGCCGATGGTATGATAAGAAGATGTATTCTCAAAAAGGAGGTACGTGATATTTTACTTCATTGTCATAACTTAGAAGCGGGTGGTCATTTTAGCACTCCTAAAACCGTAGCTAAAGTATATCAATCGGGATTTTATTAGCCTACCATGTACCGAGATGCTCAAGAATATATTAAAAGTTGTGATGCTTGTCAAAGAACTGAAAATATTTCTAAAAAAAATGAAATGCCATTAGCTACATTATTAAAAATTGAGTTATTTGGTGTGTGGGGTATGGATTTTATGGGACCATTTTCTAGTTCTTTCAACAATAAGTACATCTTAGTAACTGTGGACTATGTATCTAAATTGGTGGAGGCAATTGCTTCACCTACAAATGATACTAAGGTAGTATTTCGATTTCTTGAAAAGAACATTTTTAATAGATTCGGTATTCCTAGGGCCATAGTGAGTGATGAAGAAAAATATTTTATAACAAACAACTTGATTCTTTGTTGCTTAAGCAGGATTGTAGGTATAAGATATCACTTTCATACCATCCACAAGCGAATGGACAAGCGGAGTTGGCCAATCGAGAGATTAGCTCATCATTGAGAAAACGGTGAATAACTCAAGAAAAGATTGGGCAAGAATACTCGACGATACATTGTTGGTGTATCGAATGACATTTAAGATACCTTTGGGGATATCGCCTTATCGATTAGTCTATGAAAAGCTTGTCATCTACCGGTAGAAGTTGAACATAAGGCATATTGGACTATTAAGGCAATTAATATGGATTTTCATCTTGCAGGTGAGAGGAGACTACTTGAGTTAAGCGAACTTGAGGAACACCGGTTGCATACTTATGAGAATGTCAAGATCTATAAAGATAAAGTGAAATATTGGCATGATAATCATCTTATACCCAAACAATTTGAGGTAGGGCAAAAGTGCTCTTATGCAATTTATGCCTTAGGTTGTTTTCCGAAAAACTCAAATCAATGTGATCGGGACCATTTGAAGTCACTCAAGTGTTTTCTTATGGGACTGTTGAAGTGGTTAATACAAGAAAAGAACAGTTCAAGGTCAATGGGCAATGATTAAAACCCTACTTGGTGGAGGAAATCGTTCTAAAAGGACTCATATGTCCTTTGGGTGACTCGTCTTCAACTGAATAAGCCAATCCTTTTGAGTTGAACCAACGACTATAAACAAAAGCGTTAATTGGGAGGCAACCTAAAGTTTTTGTTAAATAGGTTAATTTGGTATGATTTTGTATTTAATGCATGTATTTAAATTAATTTGTTATTTTTGTGATATAGGTTCGGCAAACGAAAGCAAAGATGACCATTTGAGGTGAAAAGGGCGAAATTTGATCAAGGAACTCAACCCCTCAATTTACGTTAAAAGTGTATTTGATCCATTCAAAAGGGATAAATGCATATTTTGATCATTTTACATGTGCATGTGATGATAAATTTGGCAAAAAATAATC